TGAGACCTCGCATCCGCCTGGGTGGTTGCGAAGTGCGCAACGGTCGCCACTTTCGTGGGCTCCCGGGAGGCCCAGCGGAGAGGAGTGGTACGCAGAGCCGGCCGAGGCCCCGCGGCTCCCTGGGAGGCTGCGATGTGCGCTCCAGTCGCCACTTTCGTGGGCTCCTGGGAGGCCCCGCGGAGAGGAGTGGTACGCAGAGCCAGCTGAGGCCCCGCGGCTCCCTGGGGTGCTGCGAAGTGCGCTCCTGTCGCCACTTTCGTGGGCTCCTGGGAGGCCCCGCGGAGAGGAGTGGTACGCAGAGCCAGCTGAGGCCCCGCGGCTCCCTGGGGTGCTGCGAAGTGCGCTCCTGTCGCCACTTTCGTGTCCAGCGGAGTGGGGGAGTACGCAGACCCAGCCGCGACCTCGCGTCTCCTTGGGAGGCTGCGAACTTTGCACGTTTCGCCACTTTCATTTGCTCCTGGGAGGTCCGGCTGAGTGAAGGAATGCGCAGACCCAGCCGAGACGTTGCGGCTCGCTGTTTTCGTGGGCTCAGGGTAGCCACGGCGGAGTGGGGGAATGCGCAGACCCAGCCGAGACCTCGTCCTCCGTTGCGAAGTGTTCAAGATGATTGCGCATGCGTCCATGTATCGAAGACGCCTACGGCGAATCACCGCCGCCCCGTGCCTTTTTGGAAGCGCCTATGTGCCCGAACGTTGAGGCCAGACCTGCCAAGCTATCGGACCTGATGTTCCCCGACTCGGTTTGGAAAGCCTTCGGGGAACACGTGGGCATCTTGAAGGTCATCGTGGCCGCCTGGAGGCCATTTTGACCCTTTCGGGCCTTCTTGGAGGACGTCTTGGAGGGCTCTTGGGCCGTCTTCGAGGCCATCTTGAGCGTCTTGGAGGCCTCTGTGGCCATCTTGGGGGCCTCTTGGGGCCGTCTTGGGCCTCTTGGGCGATCTTTGGGGGCACTTGGGCGGTCTCGGGCCGTCGGAAGGCCGAAAAAGAGGAAAGGCCACACTCCTTCAAAAACTCATGGGAAATCAATGATTTTTGGCCTTTCGGCTTTCCTGGAGGCCCTCTTGGAGGCCTCTTGGGCCGTCTTGGGTCATCTTAGTGCCATCTTCGGCCGTCTTGGTGGGCCCCTGGTCCGTCCGACGCCGTGGGAAGCCGTTTGGGAGGCCTCTCTGAGCCGACCTGGGGCCCTTTTGGAATGCTGCAGGGCCGTCGTGGATGCTATCTTGGGCGTCTTAAGGGGCTCTTGGACCGTATCGGGCCGTCGGAAGGCCGAAACGAAGCACATGTCAAAATCCTTCAACAACCTTGGGAAATCCGTGCTTTTGGTCATTTCTGGCCTTTCTGGAGGCCCTCTTGGAGGCCTCTTGGGCCGTCTTGGGCCAGCTTCGAGCCACCTTCGGCCATCTTGGTGGGCTCCTGGCCCGTCTGACGCCGTCGGAAGCCGTTTGGGGGGCCTGTCTGGGCTGACTTCGGGCCCTCTTGGGGTGCTCCAGGGCCGTCTTAGAGGCCATCTTGGGCGTCTTATCAGCCTCCTGGGCCGTCTTGGGGGCCTCTTGGGGCCGTCTTGGGGGCCTCTTGGGCAGTCCTGAGGCCATCTTGGAGGCCTCTTGGGCGCTGTGGGGGCGATCTTGGGGGCCTCTTGGGCCGTCTTGGGTCGTCGGCAAGCCGAGAAGAAGCGAATGCCAAAATCCTCCAAAAATCTAAGGACAATCAATGATTTTGGCCTCTTCGGGCCCTCCTGGAGGCCCTCTTGGAGGCCTCTTCTGCGTCTTGAAGGCCTCTGGGGGGCCTCTTGTCTTGGGCCGTCTTGGACTCTCTTG